AGTTTCAGAAGCAAGGTAAAATATTAAAAATAAATGGACCTCAAAGATAGTAATCTTGGAATTCCTCCCAGTCCTGTAGGTTAATGAGTGTAGTCCAGGGTGACTATGTTTCTTATTAGCTGTCTCCATTTCTGCCAATACCTTTCATGAGCAAGTAACTGGCATCCACTTGTTGCCTTCTGCAAAAGGACAGCTGAGACCATGATGTACAGTCTAAGTATCTAATTACCTCACTCACGACGTTGTAACATATGTATATGACAAATTGTGGAGCTCTCCTAAGGAATGAATCAGAAATTATAAAAATGTGGTACAGATTGAGCCACAAAGCCAGCGAGGCCCCAGGTTTGTTCCTTGATTGGTACAAACCCTAAGCTGCACTGTAGTATGAGAAAAATCTTGGCCTCATTCCAATCTGAAAGAAATGAATGCTCAATAATTCAAAGTGTCTACTAAAAGCAAATGTAAAAATGTTTGAAGCCAACCACTTGGAGGAAAACTTTCCTCCCAAGAGCAAACTGCAAAAGCTTACTAAAATTAATGCAAATGGAATCAGTCCAGTTGCACAGCATGACATAGCATCCAGCACAAGGCATGGAATGGGGGGAACTCAGAGTTCCCTGTTGAAACAATCCTGCTAAGCCAGCCAACGAATTCAGGCCAACTCACTCCTAAGAAGAGAAAACAAAAGGAAATGTGTGTGGGTTCACCATAGGTCTTGGCAGCCAGCAAAGTGCAGCAGCATTACTTATGGACAGGGAGTCAGGAAGCTACTCTCTTCCACCAGGTGAAAGAGAGGAATTGCTCAAGTACTAAGGAAAGAGATGGAAGGGGGGGTATAGGTGGGTGGGGGGGTCATAGAACAAGGTGATAATTTTGCCTCATGGGTGGAGTTCTACCACTCAAAAAATATAGAACCAAAAAGTGTGCAGAATACTCCAGAAAATAAAGACTGACCTTTTGGGTTCTATGTTTGGCTTTGAGGATGAGATTGAGTCATTGGGACAATTCTATCTGTTCAATACCTGTCTGTATGCCAGGTTTTAACATGATAACTAAAGCGAAAACAAAGATTTAAAACTTGAAAACACAATGGAAGCAAAATGGGTAGCCCTCAGCTTCAGTAAAGATAACTGCAAGTGTTGGGGGGGGGGGGACAGGGACTGGCCCACGAGAATAACTGCCCTCCTTTCTTAAAATATTACTTGTGGTACTCGGGAAATGATTGGCATGCCAACTGCAGCGCCCGGCTTGCAGCGCTCCTGGGTAATATTTTTTCAGCTGACACCTTGAGGTATTGGGTTTTCAGAAGTTAGAATGAAACCAGCCTCTCCCCCATAAATTGCTCCAGCATACCACTGATTTCAGCCCTGTGACCGTGAATTCCGAACAAATAAGATAGACTTTGTGTGCAAATATCAATGCCACACCAATATATTAACAGTAAGCACAGAATACGTGACTCCAAAAAATGGAGTGAGATCACAGAACGCCTGCGTCGTTTACCTTCAGTTAGTGCATAAAAGATGAATGACTTGGGGCGTGTCTAGTCTTATTGTTCCCATTGTATATCAATGCTAGACTAAATGATATGCTAAAATGTAATTAAATGCGTCTATAGGCGGATAAATCTGATTAATTGAAAACATATGGTCGAACGAATAACGGGTATGGAGGAAAACAATATGAAATACACACATTAGTACAAAGGTATTAAACCAGGAACGCCCCCATAATAAACTCAGGTCTCCTGCGTGGTCCTAGCGCCGGCAAAGTTATCATGTTCAGAGCCTTTATAGTCCTTGATCGTAGCCCTAAACCTCCAACAGCAACTACACATAGAAACTAAAATGCAATGGGTTATCCAATTTCAATCAGCTCAATATCCGCAGTCTGCAATGTTCAACTCAATAATGAAACTAAACAAAAGTTGACCATGAAACTTCAAGATCAGTCTATGAAACTAAATTGGTTTTAATTAAGACGGTGGTATTTATTCAGAACACGTCCATCTGCTGTGTATTTCGTCAGCTTTTTTAGGCTTTAGTTTTGCTGACACAAAAGACACGCCTACACTTTCCAGTTACTGAATTTCCCAGCGGAGTTCAATCTGGAAAGTGTCCTCAATCGAAGAATGTTACATTAAACATTAAACGTTAGACATATGTGCAGCTTGCAGTCAAAGCACACTGCAGAAACTCCAACAAATGAGACAAGCCAGCAAGGAATACGCCGCATCTACTGATGCATATCGAGCGATTGAGACCTTGAAGGAGAAAAATGCTGCACACTGGCGTAGTAGCCAGCATCTCCCTCCCTCCCCCCACTCCCGTGTATTTTAGGCAATGCACTCTGCAAACCGCAGCAGTGTACGCTTAAGAGAGCAGTTCACTTCAGAGTTTGCAACTAAACTGATTGCATTCTTTTATGGAATACGATTGTGCTATGAGTTAAACATTAAACTAGCACCGAGTGAAATAAGCACTGAACATGATTTGTACGAACAAATTTGTTAACTTGAAGTGAAAAGTTATCCAAAGTGCATGGACTTGCACCAAGTATACTAGCCCTAGTGAACGTTAACATATAAAGAGATAACGTCCATCATGTAAAAGATTCATCCATATGGTTAGTGTTTCCACTTTGGTGACCGTTTGTTTCAAAGCTTTTCTGTCAATCCTTTTTGTAGTGAAAGGCCACATCACATAATTGTGAAGTGCTGGTCTGAATTCCTGGATAGATCATTAAAGGGCAATTAAACAGAAGAGCAAAATATTCCCCCACTCGCCCACCTTATCCATCAAGAATTCCATGATATGAGACACTTCCTTACTGTCCTTGAGCAGTTTAGTATTAATTTTCATATATTCATCTTTATTAACAGCAGCTTTCACAGCAATCCCTAGTCGATTCAAATGAAATCGATTCAAATCCAGTTACTTGACCGACTTGTCACTCACTGCGGTACCCAGTTCATCAGCTGCCAGAAAACTATGACCTTCAGGATTAGACTCAGAAAGTAAAAGTCGCTGGTGATATCTAATGTCTTTACTTGAAAGGAGAGTCTTTTTTAAAGGAAAAATTTAAATTACAACTTCTCTGGGTTAAAACCAAACGAAACGTCTTATGAAATGGAGCAAAGTGCGTGCAATCCATCACCAAGGTAGTGAAGGGCAGGGGTCACTGCAGTAAAAGAGACGGCAGCTGCTTTAAACAGCTCCAGGTAAGCGCACATAGAGAAGGGTCGACCGGAGAAAGACAGGACGAGAAGCAGAAAAAGAAATAGACTTTCACTAACGACGAAACAAAAAGAATGAATCCTCTTCTTATAAAACAACTGGCAGAAGGAACAAAATGCAGTGGTGCCTGTAGATTGGTCTGGAAAAGCATAAAGTCTGTGCAAAAGAAACTCATATTCCTGCACCAATATGGCTAATATCCAGAATCTGGAGAATGCCCTGTCTGTCTGTGTGTGTGTGTGTGTAGCGGGGGGGTTGAGGGTCTGCTGTTATATTCTTGCGCCACCACAGCGACCAAACTTCACACGTTCGGATTCTGCATGAATCTGTATTCTCATTCCCCGCCTCCCACTCCGGCCCACCCGCGAAACAGGGTGAAAGTGGTTTATATGCGAAATGATACTTTACCGCCGAACAACAAAAAATCTTTTCCAAACGGTTTTTTTTAAAAGTTTCCCTTTACTAAATTCTTTTCAAATGTTGCATTGAAAATAATTTACCAAGCGTTGGAGTATAGATGATAATGATTGCGGGAATTCCAAACATTCATCTTCGTTTGCGTTTTAGGAATCTGTCTAATTATGTCCATAGTTTAGACCACATTGGTGTTTGAGAAAGAAAGTGATATCTTCCCGTTACACTGACTTTCTGCCACAAATGCATTCAGGGTGTGCATTAGGACCCGGGGGAATCTCTGGTGCTCTGGAAATGTAGCAGTGCGGCCGCCGTACAGACACCTGCTGGAGGCGTGAACCCAGAGGCAGAGGCTTGGATAAGAGCCCTTTCCTGGGAAAGGAAACTCTCGATGGACACCCTGGTCAGCAGCATCGGTGCTTTTTGACATTAAAACCTCTTTCAATCAACTATCAGGACAAACAATGCATGGCAAGGTCATGGCATACACGTGGCCGAATTGCCTCTTGTGCATTTTCAAAGACAGATTGAGGAAACTCAGCCTGGTTAATAATGTACGGCGATATGTTAAATTAGTCTTTGCTGTGATCGCCCCAACAATCACCTCCATCAGTGAGTCATATGATTGCAGCAGTCCACTGCGTTTGCAATCCATGTCCAACTTCGACAATACAACCCCACTGCTTTTTTTTTGCAGTTTACCTGAAAAATTGCACAAATGGGGCAGCTCAGCAGGATCTAAACATATAGATTCTCAGCTAGTTTCTAGTTTAGTGTCCCAGTAAAATGACATTTTTATAAGATCATTGAATTATGTAGTAGCGCCAGGTAGATGGGCGGCCGCAGACATATGTTTCAAAGCGTCTTAGTCAGCATCCAATAGCTATGCACCTAAATTAATGGTCCCATATGATCGTATCATTGCACCATTAGCCTGAATCTGTTTTTCTCTATACACACGGAGCCAGGACCGCTGTCAGCTAGCCTATCCATTTTCCGCATCCTATCATTTTGAAAGTTCATTATCTAAACCGAATTTACGTAAAATCCTCACGCAAATAGGTAGATATAGACAGAGAGGATATGCTGATATATTTATAAAGAACTGCCGTTACCATACACCTAAATTAATACGATGATCCTATCATTTAGTCATGTCTGATATTCTTAGATCACGTTATAGGAATCAAAATACGTTCCAACTGCTGTCTGCTTACATTGTGGGGCTGCGTTGTATTAAACTCTTCCATCTGGCATTGTCGTGAAAAGGAGGGGAAAAGAATCATAAGACGCTTCTTTTATGACCTACTTAAGGGCAATTAGATGCTTTGTCTCTCTGCTACTTACCAAAGCGGCTGTGATCCTGTCTGGTTCCCTGGATAGTTCCATTAGGAAAAATCTCTAAGTGAAAGCCAGTCCTGCAGTACAGCTGTCTCCGCCTGAGGATCCCCTTTAAGTGAGCCAGGTCCGTGACTGAGCCCCTGCTCAAACCCCCCTCGGACTGGCCGAGGTGATCACTCAGGAGAACCGGGTTATCCACCGGCAAAACGGGCACATTCCCAAAAGGTATTGCATCCTGGACACCAAGATAGTTCCCAACTTCACCTAACGGAGCCATCAGTCGCCGCCGGCGATTCTGCTTCTGATAATAACAAAAAAAAACAAGAATATAGGTGTCAGCCCAAATTGATCTCTCGTGTGTTTTCCTCTTTTTGTTGCTCTTTAGAATGTATTGTTTTGACTGCAATCCATTAAAACATACATAAAAAGTGATATGCTGTTTTGGTTTGGGGCAGGTTCAAGGTCAATCGCTGTAGTCTATGAAACCACCACTTTATACTCACACATAAACATATTGTTTTTTTTAAATAATCCCAGGTCTAGCAGGCTGTTTGATCTTCAGGCGATCCAGCTGCATTGAGAATAAAAATTCGTAGTTTCTCCATTGGAAGAAGATAACGATGATCATAGCAACTTAAAACCCGGCGTTATTGGATTTTTTTTAGATGAACAAGGCTACGTCAGAATTTATGGATTCTGACTCCAGAAAGGCATGCGCTGTTTTTACTCTATAAAAGACTGCATACATCAGCATGAATCCTTGAGAAATATAGATCGCACGGTGCTCGCTGGGGCAATCCAAAAACTTTGATCTTATTTTTTTCCCCAAACGTCACCTTTTTTTATTATCCAAAAGACTTGAGGAAGATCTGAAGGAGTGTCTGAGGCTTCACACGCTCGCCTTCAGCAGCAGAAAGATCTGCAAGTCCAATGCTGGGTTGCTGGCTGCTTTGAAACAGGTGTTCCTTACGCAGACCCCACTGTGAAATGTGTGTACTATCTGCGTCTGAACTATACTCTCCATAAAGCACGCAGAGTGGCGCAGAAAAGCAGGCATGGGTTGGGTTTAAGGTAGACTTACCAACGACATATAGGCTCCTTCTCGGTCCTAGTGCCCAATGGTTACTGAGGGAGGAATTTCATCGCTTGAAGTGATGTATTCAGCCCTTTACAAGTATACCGCTTCATTTCTCCTCCCATGAAACTTTTCAGATGACTTCAGCCACTCGACTCTGGTGAAAGTACTGTCCAAATGAAGGTTGTGTTTCACTGATTGTGTCAGGGAACTCAGTTAAACGAGGTTATTTTTCATATTACGGAAGGCAAGGTTTCTGGATTCAACCCCAAAAATATGAAATAAATCAGAATGAAAGCGATCGCTATTACAATGAACAGCCTTAATAGTAGGAAGATCGATACACCGGTGACCAGTAAAATCGATAAGCAATTGGACGCTTTTTCGAATTCTTGAAGACAGTATTAGCTGCACACTTTCTGCTCTGAAAGAAATAGCACACAGGGCTGTAGCAAACATCTCCCTCGTCTCAGCTATTTCGGGAAAGCTGTAGTTTGGTAGAAAAGGACCTGATGACGGACAGCCATCTTCAGAAAGTGATCTTGGCTAGCAAAAGCTTCAAAGATGACGTTTTTCAGGTTTCTGGTAAAAGTTTGCATATACTGGAAGTGATATCCCATAGATTGAGTTTGTTCAGGTTTAGAAATCCTGCACAGTAGAATTGGACCCCATCTTGGAGCGACCACTTTCAACACTAACTGGCTTCCGGCCACAGTAGGAATAGGCTCTGCTCAATAGAATGCAATTCAGGAATATGTTACTTACAGTCAATGTTTATCTTACCCATAAGAATACGCGGAAACTGGCCCTGGGCCTGGACTAAAAGTGATTCAGTTAGCGAAGCGGTGAGGACAAGTTGGAAACTATGATGCTCAATGTGGTTAGTGGGATGCCACATTTCCGAATGAGGTAAAATATATATTGTTTTATTTCACTGCCTCAACAATATCATTCACAGAGACATTCCCCTCACTTGACAAACAGCAACTGAAGCAGGTTAGACTTTTTTAAAATAATGACAATGGTCTTTGATTAACGTATTAAAACGTTAAAGAATTCCGTACAGCGATAGTTCAGCTTCCTTAACTAATAAAATATGCAAATCGAAAGCAAACCGATCTACGAATTGAGGGGAAGTCTGATGTAACTTCGGCGGCTCAGTGAGGAGAAGAAATACGGCGCTAGGACCCAGGAAGGTCTTAGCGTTAATTCTCCGTCCTGAGTTTTTTCTTTAAGAATAATTTGCTGTTTCAGGAATAAAGGCTGTTCGGGAAAAAGGGGGGAGTGGTAAAAATTAAAATCTGGAGTTTAGAAACTGCTGAACTTCCATCAATCACGCCCTTCCTAGATCTGGGAATGGGGTCGGCTGACAGCAGCAATGCGAACTGGCAGGAGATTCAAGGAAAGGGTTGCGGTACTTTCGCTAGAAGTCGCTGTAGAGTCCGCACTCGCTCGGTATTGGCAGTATCCTGCAATATTCTTTGTGTGTGTTTGTATCATTATTTATTTCCTTATTCGCTTTCTATCCAAGCCTGGATTTTTTTAGGCTTAGTCATCTCCTTAATATAATTTGTATGCGGAACATTGTTCTACTTAATAATACGAAACTCGTTGAGCTTGAAGGTTTTATTTTTTTTGAAGAAAAACTAATGTAAAGCATTGATTTGCACCGCTGGCTTCTTTCTCCTGTGTACTCTCGCTTTACCTGCACAATGTCTTCCATACGATTCCTTCAATGGTAATTTAGTAGGTTTTATTATTTTCTGTCCGTCATTTTACTTAGCTGAAAAGCATATTTATGTACGAAATTGTGGAATGACCGAGTTCATGAGAGCAAGTTTTGGGGATGTGTGGTTAATTTGATGCTGCTTTAGTGGTTTAATTGTGAAGCAAGGTGTTCTATTTAAATTGAAATTATTAATGACATATACACTCATATGTGCACCGATTTAATTGCTGGAGAAACATGAACTGAAAATCGGAAATGAAACATTTCCTAGAAAGATCCATTTACTACAATGTAGCGGCAATTGGAACGGAAGCCTATAGAGCAACTTGGGTTTTTGAGATGGTCACAGTGTAATTTAAAGGGACAGAACCACGATGACCTCATCAAGACCCCAAGACTTGTCCTGGTGGTTTGGCTTTCTCATTGAAAGAAACATGGGGGAGGAAAGATTGTATTAAAATATTTGAAGAAACTAAACAGGACAAATACTGAGTACATTATTCATGAAACCATTTGTGACACTGCTAATGCTGATGCACATTCTAAACAGCATTGAGAATCAACACAACTGATTTACAGCGAGTATTGGGTATTGCATGTGCATATTAAAATAAGTGTTTCCAATCATAGAATCATTCAGAGCAGAAGAGGCCCTTCAGCCCATCAAGTTTACACCAACACATGACATACACCTGGTCGTCAACCAAATCCCATTTATGGATTGTTATGCCATGCCAAGTGCTCATCCAGGTACTTTGTAAAGGACGTGAGGCAATTCGCCTCTACCACCCTCCTAGGCTGTGCATTCCAGTCCGTCACCACCCTCTGGGTAAAATCGTTTTTCCTTACATCCTTCCTATATCTCCTGTTCTTTACCTTGAACCTGTGACTGACTATTTACTCTGACCATACCTCTCATAATCTTTTACACCTCAATCAGATCACCCTTCAGTTTTCTCTGCTCCATTGATAACAACTCAAGCCTATCTAACTTTCCTCATAACTTAAATGCTCCATCCTAGGCAACATCCTGATGAATCTCCTTCTTATCCCCTCCAGTGCCATCACATCCTTCCTGTAATGTGGTGACCAGAACTGCACACATTATTCTAGCCGGGGTCTCAGCAAAGATGTACACAACTCCAACAAGATTTTGGTAGACAAACAGGAGACTGGAAGAACACAGCAAGCCAGACAGCATCTGGAGGAAAGGAGAAGTCAACGTTTCAGGTATTACCTTTCTTCAGGACTGGATGTGGGGGTAGGGGGAGCTGCAGATAAAGATAGGGCTGGAGGGGGTGTAGCGGAATGGTGGTGATAGGTGGACACTGGTGGTAGGTACGACCTGGTTGATCAATGGGAGGGATGAATCTGGTTGGTGGCTTGAAGGGAAGGTCAGAAGGTGGAATGGAATGGAGGAAGTGGGGCTGTTTGGGGAGCTGGGGAGTGGATGTTGAGTGAAACTCAGTGTTGAGTCCTACGGGCTGTAGGGTGCCCAGGCGGAAGACAAGGCGTTGTTCTTCAGATTTGCATTCTGAATCACTGCAACACTGGAGAGGCCGAGGACGGACATGTCAGAGGGGGAGTTTGGGGTGGAGGGAGAGGTGAAATTGGCGGTGACCGGGAGGTTATGCTAGCCATTACATGATGATGATGCTCAGTAAAACAGTCACCTACTCTACGTTTGGTCTCACCGATAAAGACCACATCGGGAGCACCGGATGCAATAGACTAGGCTGGAGGACATGCAGGTGAAGCTCTGTCTCACTTGGAAGGACTGTTTAGGGTCTTGAATGGAGGTGAGGGAGGTGGTGTATGGGCAGGTATTGTATCTTTTATAGTTACAGGGGAAGGTACCGGGCGAGTTGGAGTGGTTGGTGGGGAGTGTGGCGCAAACTAAGGAGTGGCGAAGGGAATGGTCCTTGCGGAAGGTAGACAGGGGTGGGGAGCGGAAGATGTTCCGGGTAGTGGGGTCTCATTGGAGTTGGCAGAAGTGTTTGAGGATGATACGTTGGATGAAGAAGCTGATGGGCTGGAAAGTGAAGACAAGGGGAGTGTACCTTTATTATGCCTGGAGGGTGTGGTTAAGAGCTGTGGAGCGGGGAATGGAGGAGGCACGGTGGAAGGCTGTCTGGATGACAGAGGGGGGATAAGATTGTTGTTTGAAAAAGGCGGACATCCAGGATGCTTGGAAGTGGAAAGTCTCCTTGTCAGAGCAGAGATGGAGGATTTGGGAAAGTGGGATGGGGTTTTACAGGATACAGAGTGGGAGGAGGTATAGTCTAGGTGGCTATGGGAGTCTGTGGCTTTATAGTAAATGTTGGTCTATAAACTGTCACCAGAAATGGAAACAGAGAGGTCAAGAAAGGGGAGGGATGTGTGTGAGATAAACCAAGTGAATTTGAGAGTGGGGTGGAAGTTGTTAGCGAAGTCGATGAACTGCATCAGTTCAGCCTGGGTGCAGGATGTAGCACCGATGCTGTCATCGATGTAATGGCACAAGAGTTGGGGAACAGAACCGGTGTACGTCCTGAAGATGGACTGTTCAACATAACCGACAAAGAGGCTGGTGTAGCTGGTGTAGCTGGGGCCTAGCAAGTGCCCACGGCAACCCCCTGGATTTGGAGAAAGTGGGAAGAATTGAAGGAAAAGTTATTGAGGTGAGGACTAGTTCGGTGAGGCCGAGGAGGGTATTGGTAGGGGTGGACTGGATGGGTCTGTTGGAGAGGAGAAAATTGACGGCCTGTAGGCCATCCTGTGGGGTTTAGATGTGTATAGGGATTGGACGTCCATAGTAAAGATGAAGCACTGAATGCCAGGGCACTGAAAGTTTCCAAAGAGGTGGAGGGCGTGGTTTGTGTCCCAGGTGGGGAGTGCCTGGACCAAGGGGGACAGAATGGAGTCGGGGCTGGGACAGGAGCATGCGGAGACGATAGGTTGGCCACGGTAGTTGGATCTTGGGGAGCAGGTAGAACCGGGCACTGCGGGGCTGGTGGTCTGTAAGGCTGGAGGCAGTGGAGGAGAGATCACTGGAAGCGATTAGGTCATGGACAGTGTGGGAGATGGTGGCTTGATGGGCCATGGTGGGGTCGTCGTCAAGGGGGAGGTAGGATAGGGTGTTGGAGGGTTGGTGTTCAGCCTCTGCAACGTAGAGGTTCATCCTCCAGACTATCACCGCCCTTCCTTTGTCAGTGGG